TATATATATATATATATATATAGATAGATAGATAATATTAGTGGAAAATATACATACATATGAAAAATATATATCTAAAAAAATTTCCATACATGTATATTTTCAGAAAAAAATTTTTCCAAGAGGAAGGATCCAGGTAGAACTCAATGTCTAGGACAGAGTAAGGATATAATAAAAATGCTTAAACACTAATATTCCATGGTCATAATTTATTCCATTGGAATCGTAAATACGATCCAAATCATCAGACCTATATATATACGTGAAAACCGAATTCATACCAAACGGATAAAATAGACAAACCACCAACAATCACAATTTAATTTCAAGATACCATCAAAACATATACATCTACTACAATCTTTAACGCATATTACTCCCCAGCATATTTAATACCTTAAAACAATATGATCAGATATAATTTCCGTATGTAACCATGAGAATAAACACCTATTACCAGGATTCATAATAAATAAAAAAATTTAAAAAAATAAAAAAAACAAATAAATATAGAAAATAAAATAAAATAAAACACCAACAACCACTCTTTAGTTCAAGCTAGCACCACAATAATTACATTTATAGGTTTTTATTATTCTCCCACCAACATTACTAATCACTACTAACAATTTACAATAAATATTAACCACTTATATTATTATTGCCACCAACCCCCTCACATATTACTATCACACCATATCTACCATTACCATATAATCCTGCCATAATTATTAACGTAAACTACCCCCTCTCCCAGCATATTTAATACCACCATAAAAATAACCAATAAGGATTACAAACTGAAATTTCTACCAGTCACATATACACAGTCATAAAAAAAAGGAAATAACCAGCTTTAATATAATAACAATAATTTTTGTAAATTAAAAATTATAGCAATCTTCAACTACCATAATTTTACACAGAATACCTATTATCAGGATTTATACCAAAATAAATTAATACATATAACAAAATAAAATAAAATAAAACACCAACAACCACTTTTTAGTTCAAGCTACCACCACTAGCTACCACCACTATAACTACATTCATGGTTTTATCATTCTCCCACCACCGTTACTAATCATTTCTACCAATTTAAAATTTCTACCAATTTACAATAACTATTAGCTAATTATATTATCACTGTCTCCAATCCCTTCCAGCATTACTATCACATCATATTATATAGAGCCGTTATTAAATTAAACTACCCTCTCACCCAGGACATTAAATATTAAACATCACCATATAAATTAACCAATAAGGATTACAAATTTCTACCTGTTACATATACACAGTCACCAAAATCAAACAAATAACCAGCTTTAAATATAACAAATAAACCCCCATTTTTTTCAAAAATTTAAAAATAAATATAAATAATAATAATTTTTACCTATCATAATTTTACACAAACCCCACCACACGTATATACATACATGCGAGGAAATATTATTCAGCGGAAAAAATAAATAATATGACATGTATACATTCACGAGACATTCACGAGACATTTCCGCCACACTTCCAATCTTTAAATTTCAACATTTCAACATACAAATGCGTATGTATAGACACAACACCACCCATATACATACATATGTCATATCCGAAACTGCACACATATGTTTATATATGTATGAGTCCTGACGGACGACCAAGTATGTATATGTGTCTGCATACATCGATGTTTGCGTTAGTACGATGACATAAGCGACGAAGTTTCCCCCACCACTTCCACAATAACATCAATACACGCAATCTACGTAAACTCAATTTTTTTAAAAATTAATCAGTTTGTCTGACGATCGCTAAAGCGTGAAACCCAGGGTCACAAACTCACATCTATCCAACCAAATATATATATATATATATATATATATATATATATATATATATACACATATCTGGCTACTCAGAGACGACAGACTGTTCCATATATATATATATATATATATATATGTGTGTGTGTGTGTGTGTGTGTGTGTGTGTGTGTGTGTGTTGTGTGTGTGTGTGTGTTTGTGTGTTTTTGTTAAACAACATTGACAAGGTAATATTTATAATGTTTTTTTTTCTTGTATGGCTTCCATTTCATCGGGTCTTATGATTAAAAATCATGGAAGCTTTAATAATAAAAAAGAAAAAGCCAACTTTTAACAATATTAACTACGAGAAAGGCCACAATGTGCTAGCCGTATTCGGAAATTAAAACATACCTACTACACAGTAAAACATACATATAATGCAATGAGTGAAACAGTCTGTCGCTTCTGAGTGTTGAATTCAATGTTCACTTTTATATTTACATACGCTCTATCTCTGAATATAGCATACCGTAAAACTATATTTCTTTCTATATATATATATATATATATATATATATATATATATATCATAGTTGGCCACTGATATTTCGAGAATACCCGTCTACTAGGGCGATTAGCCAATTCCTATTGCTAACGCCCGTTCAGGCACATTCGTGTTTGTTCAACACCCACAGAGCCCACTGTATTTGCTTGCGCGAACTCGAGAACGCAGAACGCCTTATACTGAGGACTCGGCAATCCGGGTGTAAACAAACAACTGGATGTTGCAGGAGATACGACGCAACTACAGCGCCACTGTAACAGCCATTCAAGACTTAGAAAAGCCTTCTTTCAAATGGTCACTGATTCATTCCATGACGATGCTTGAGAACTGAAGCAATGCGTCATGAAATCGGTTCATTCTTTTTTGAAAAACCCTGTATTAAGAAACAGGAAAATTTCATAAGAAACAATGTATAGTGTACTGAAAGTATGCAATGTTAATCCTTTTATATGGCAGTGAATGCTGGATCATCAACTTCACAGGTGAGGAGAAAACTGGAGGCAACAGTGATGTGGTTCTGCAGAAGGATAGTGAGAATTCTATGCATGAAGCGCGTTTGAAGTCTGAAGGAAAGTGGTAACAAAAATATAGCTGAACTTTCTTGGACATATAGTGAAAAAGGAGGGCTTGGAGAGCAAGCACGGTGGAGTAATGGGTAGCGGCTTTCTCCCCCCCCAGCTATGGGTAAATAGTAGGAGAGACCGGGTTCTGTAAAGTTGGATGTGAACTGGTCTACCGCAGAAAGAAATGGCAACCTATTGCAGGAAAAAATCTGCCTCGTCAGTCATGTATCGAAAGATACATGATCGCCTAAGCGTGTATTATACATGGCACATAATTGACTGAAAACAAAAACGACTAGGGAAGGCAGCGGATAACCTGCCTGGCCTAAAAGAAGTTAATTTTGGGATTATGATAAAATATGTTTGTTTATGCTATTATCTTGTGTTATTGTCTGGTTAGAGCATGTAGAATGTCTTTTGTTTCCTCGGGGCATGAACTGAAGACGTGAAGGCATTCTGTTCTGTGCAACATGGATGGTTCAGTTCAATTCGAGAGACAAGTTCGGTCGTGGTGCAAATCACTGGAGTGGGAATAGTGCACAATGTGCTCTCATGGCTGTTGGACAAGCTTTTTTGGTGTCAAATTTGACTTTGCTAGAAGAAAATGGATCAGTAAGATGTCTACAGTCTCTGGTTCAGTGAAAGCCTCCTTTGAGGCATCATCACAGCACGTTGATCAGTCAGCCGGAAGTTGAACACGAGACTCCATGCACAATCGCCGTAATATTAAAACGGAGGGATATAGAAAGCCGAGTGATTTCTGACTATCCTCGAGTTGAGATTCATTTTCTTTTCTTTTCTTTTTTTTTTCTTTTTCGTTAACTATTCGGTTCAGTTACTTTGTTAAATGTTTGTTTTATTTGAACTGCATACTTTGTGAATGGATCGCATTTTTAGTGAGTGTTATCTAGAGGACGGCTAGAAATATTAGCTTTACGACTAATGATTTTTCTGTTTTAGTGAAATGCTGAAGTGGCCTGATGTATAACTTAGTGATCTTTGATTTGGATCAAAAACTCCAAGAGTGGGACAGAGACTGCGTCTCCTGGCGCTTGATATCTCTGCAATTTGAAGAAGCCTGGGAGTGTTGGAACGAACTGCTAGGTGGTTAATGGTTCTAACTGATCCCCACGCTCTAACTGAATCCAGGGTCATCAACTGATGAGGGTTTTGTGAAGGCAACGCTGTTTTTGTTGTTATTTTTGTTGTTGTTGAGGCAGTGAAACTATTGATTTGTGTGTGTTTTCGTTCGTGTGTGTGTGTGTCTTTTCCTTACTTTTGTATGTGTGGTTCTGTGTGATTCTGTGCGCATGTTTATGCGTTTGAGTTTGTGTGTGTGTGTATTTTTGCGTGTTTCTACATCTGTGTGTATTTATGTTAATGTGTGTGTTTGAGCGTTTGCTTTTGCGTTTGTGCGTGTGTGTGCTTGTGCATTTGTGTTTGTTTATCGTTATGTGTGTGTTTGAGCGGGTTTTTGTATGCATGCATGTGCGTGTGTGTGTATGTGTATTTTTGTTTGTGTATTTGTGTTTGTTCGTTAGTTTGGGCGTTTATATGTGTCTGTGTGTATTTGCGAATTTTGTCTGTGCGTGTGTGTGTGTGTGTATTCTTGTGTATGCGCTTCTGCATAATAATGTGTTTGTGCCTTTGAGTGTGTGTGTTTCCTCAATGACTGGATTAAAATACTTTTATCTCTCATTAAACCATTCTGCTGCGTTGCTTTTTATTTTCGTCCGTTCTATTTCCCGGCCTTCATCAGGGGCCTTCTTGCATTCCAGATTTTATAGCAACCGTTTGTTTCTTTTCTCTCTTTTCCATCCGAACACCACAAATGAAAAAAAAAACCTTTCTGTGTGGTCAAAAAAATAAAACATTAATACGTGTAAGCAATGATCTTTTGCTTTCACTCCCTTTCATGTTCATATGACTGACAATAGACCTTAGCGCTCAGTCATGTGATTCACTCTAACGTTCAGTTGATGTTTCAAATCGGTATGAAGTAAACTCTACTCGAAATAATTAGATTTTTTTACTTGAAGTTCATAATGTTCATCAATCGAATTACAGAGGAACGTCAGGGAGACAACAGTCTGACTGCCCAGCGGGGGTCAAAAGAAAAAGTGCAATGAATAAGCTGTCACCTGATAACGGCAGAAAATTTCCTGACGCGACCAAAAGGCAGAGATGTTGGATTGAACTGCCGGCAGTCATATCACTTAGGAGGCATCAATATATGTGTATGTGGGGGGGTGCGCGCGCGCGGGTAACTGTCTGTGTATATTCAGGTCGGTGTAATAATGTGTGTCTATAAAAGATAAAGAATGAGTTACTGTATTCTATCGATATATATATATATATATATATATATATATATATATATATATATATATACACACATATATATATATATATATATATATATAAAGTGAACATTGAAGTCAACACTTAGAAGCGACAGGCTGTTTCGATTGCGTCTCGCATGAAACAGCCTGTCGCCTCTAAGTGTTTACTTCAATGTTCACTTTTATATTTACACACGCTTCTATCTCTGATATTGAGCAATTTATCCCATAAATATAGCACACCTTAAGACTATATTTTTTCATATATATATATATATATATATATATATATATATATATATAAAAAATAAAACAGTTTTTTTCCGATCAAACGGCTATTTAAAAGGGTGCTCAAGGAATACTAACCACTTAAGTTACCATGTTTTTTTCACCGGTAAGGTTTCTTTTGAAATATATATATATATATATATATATATATATATATATATATATATATATATATATCCCATGATCTGCTCTCTGATAAGCAATATGGTTTTCGCTTTGCCCGTTCTACAGCTGATGTTCTCACGGCCATAACTGAAATTGTTTACCGACCACTCCACAATAACGGAAAAGCTCGTGAGGTGGCTCTAGATATCTCGAAAGCGTTTGATAGTGTCTGGCATGCCGGCCACCTTCGTAAGATTAAGGGATACGGAATTTCAGGACGAATATTTGACTTAATACAATCATTCCTGTCAAACCGTGTAATGAAGGTCGTCCTTAACGGATTCTCCTCCAGTTCCTTTCCCACGAACGCAGGTGTTCCCTAAGGCTCTATCCTAGGCCCTACTCTATTCCTTATCTTCATTAACCATCTCCCCGATATCAACAGTTCCCAAGTAGGCATCTATGCTGACGACACTACTATTTACTCCTGCCGCAATAGTAAATCTGGTATCGTTGGCAAAACTAACATGGCCGTTAGTCTCGAAAAGGACCTTCAACCGGTTGTAGACTGGGGCAGGAATTAGCTGGTTAAAACAAAACTGTTCTCTATTACTCACCACAGGGAACCATCCCTCACTCCAATTAGAATGTCTGATGCTCAACTGTACGAGGGCACCTCTTTACGACTGCTTGGTCTCACACTGTCCGCTGACCAGAGATGGAACAATTATATTGAATCAATAGCTTCATCCACCGCAGTTGGTTCCCTATGTCGCGCCAAAAAGTTTTTCCCGCCCAAGTCCATCCTTCAAATCTACAAATCAACCATTCGCCCTTGCATGTAATACTGCTGCCATATATGGTCTGGTGCCCCCGCTGTTCGCCTTAAGGTCCTCGACAAGATCCAGAGACGGATAAGCAATATGGTTGGTCCTGATCTGGCATCTCGTCTTCAGTCGCTCTCTCACAGACGAGCCGTCGCCTCCCTCTGTCTTTTCTGCGAATACTTTCACGGTAACTACTCCGACGAGCTACTATCGCTAGTCCCCAGACTGCATGAATTTAAGCGTGCTACTAGGCTGGCATCACGGTCCCACCCTTTCACTGTCGAAGCGGTTAAATGTGTCTTTCTCCAATAGCTTCATGCCTCGCAACTCCTGTCTGTGAAATTCCTTCCTATTACTTGTTTCCCTGATAGCTATAATCTCCAACTATTCAAATGTAATGTCAATCGACATCTCCAGAGGCCCTGAACTATCCCCTGCCCTTCTCTTCATTCTTGCCTCCATCACACCTCTTTACTCTCACTCCCACTTTGTAACCCCCTTGCGTACTAGATGCATCACGCCTTGCTCGGGATGAAATGCTTAAATACACACACAAGCACACACACACACACACACACACACACATATATATATATATATATATATATGTATGTATATATATATATTTTCTATGAAAATTTCTCGGACATTCAGACCGGTAAATGGTATTAATACTGTTTATTATAAATTATTTTCAGACATTTTTATGTTTATACATTATTTTATAGATAGAAATATTTAAGTAAATGCTCCGTTTATAATAAACAGTATTAATAACATTTACCGGCCTGAATGTCCGTGAAATTTTGATAGAAAATATTCGTCCTCCGACAAGAATCGTACCTGTAACCTATGCGGAACCGTCATTTAGCCTGACGTGCCTTAACCGAGTGAGGATCATTCGCTTAGCAAGGTCGATTTTACTGCTTTTAAACTACAATCTTCCATGATTGTCTCACGTACATTCATATCTGCACAATGCGTATCCAAATGAAAACAAATGACGTCACACATATATCTTAAAATAATTGTCGGACGTCGTACATTTCATAATATATATATATATATATATAGTTGCTATACTTGTTTTTATTTTTATTCTTAAACAGTGGAATTATTAACAACCGGCCTAAATTGAGAAGTCCTTCGAAAACTTTAGGAAAATTGTGCTTGCGACAAGAATTGAACCTGCATCCCTTTTTGCATTAGAGCAAGGTTGAGATTAAGGAGAGACCGTTTTCTCCTTGGAACTTCTACGAATCTAGATCTGCTAGCTTCAGTTACGTACACGAAATGTAAACAACAGAAATTTTTTGAAAATAATTGTTTATCCAACATCAGATGTACCTTCGTAGAAGCTATTATATCATACAAGTACACATACATATATGCATCCACACTTTTTGAAGGGCCAAATACCCGATGCACTACGTGCCACAGCCTCCCCAAACGACCCTCAGCAGGTTTTGAATTCAGAGTTGTCCTTCTCCTAGACCAGTTGCCATCCAAGGCTATAGAACCCAGTCCTGCTATTTACCCATAGATGGAGGGAGAATTGAATGTAATGGATTCGACTGGAATTGAACTCAATTCTCCGATTCCTCAAAAGCAAGCCGTTATCCATTATTCCACCCATGCCTTTTATATATATATATATATATATATATATATATATATATATATATATATATATATATATATATATATATATAGAGAGAGAGAGAGAGAGAGAGAGAGAGAGAGAATGAGATATTGAGACTGTGGTCATAGGAATCAACATAGCGTGGTGACTGTCGGTTTCGGATTTAAATACGATGTTCATTCTTTCTCTGTCTACACTGTATTTATAAAATTTGACTCTGACATACATGACGCTTTCCCAATAAATAAATAAAATTTTAAATATACATCTATATGTGTGTTTGTGAGTGTACGTGCGAGAGAGAGAGAGAGTTTGAGTTACTCACATATATTCATAATTGCAGTTGTAAAATCTATACTGGTGTATAGATGTACATATTTTTCTATGTTAATAGCTATGTATATATGCCAGTGCACGTATACACACACACATATATATATATATATATATATATATATATATATATATATTTCAATGAATTTCGCATCTGTATCTGTGTCAGTTTGATGTATATATGTGAGTATTTACATATATATAGAAAAGGTCTCTCAAATTTTATCAAATTAAACATCAAGTTAAAAATATCGAAAAGAAAATTCAAAATTTTTGAAAATTATTTTTTTTTTATTCGGAACTAAAATCTTTATATGAAGTTTATGTCTTGAACTTCTATAAATATAACTCAGTGAAAATCTATTTTGAGTATAAACTCTGTTGGCTAATCGTAAGTCAGCGAAATATTTAAGATCGAAACCGGGTTTCCAATGAAATATTTCAACTGTATATTTTTGGCAAACATCGACCCAAGAAATTTAAATGTCAGATTATGTGGTTTACATTAAGAACAACTAGTGTGAGTTTGATTCGCACTAGATGCTCTTAACTTTTGACCTTGGACCAGAATCAGATAAGTTCCAAATATATCTATACTGACCCAAACTTTGTAACTTACCCGCACTCAAATAAACTCAACCATTCTTTGCTTGCCTATAAGCTTATTCCGACATTACAATTAATATTTTACTGGTATATTTCCAGCATTAACTGTAGTTTTAGTCAGACATTGCAATTAAGAAGAATATTTTATTTTGGAGTAAAGCCGCTAAGACACAAAGTGTTACAGGGTGTGGAAGAATTAGGAACATAAACATTAATAATGAGCAAGAAGTGGAAAGAGTATTCAGGAGGACAGGAGATAGCGATTGACATTACATTTAAATTTTTGTAGATTAAACTTGGCTGAAAAGCATGCAGCCGGAAGGGAGTTCCACAAGCGAGAAGTGCGAGAAGAGAAACTCTTAGTGTAGAAGTTACATCTATCCAACTGCAAATTGATGGTATCTTGACGCCAGCCAAGTGCTGTTCTTAAATTGATAAAGTCTAGGTACCATAGCGAAAAGCTCATCCGAACAATTACCATGAAAGTATTTATAGAAAAGACAGAGAGAGGCAGCCTTACGGCGGTGGATAAGTGACTGAAGCCGGGACGCCAATTTTTACCCAGTCAGTCTTTTGCTTCTTTTTTTAACCGGTATCACCCCATACAAGGCAGTAAAGCCACTAAGACACAGGGGATTACACATTATGGAAGTTTTTTTTTAAGCGTTTCACCCCACGCAATGGTTACAAAGAGTTGGAGCTAGAGCAAATAGGAATGATAGAGGAAAGGATGAAGAGAAGGATAGGGGATAGATCATGGCATCTGGAGACGTCAATTGACATTACATTTGAATAGTTGGAGATTATAGCTATCAGGGAAACAGGAAAAGGGGGGAGAGTTCCACAGGCGAGAGGTGCGAGACATGAAGCTATTGGAGTAGAAGAGGCGGCTACATTTAACAGTTTCGACAGTGAAAGGGTGAGAGCGAGATGCCAGCCTAGTTGAACGCTTAAATTCATGAAGTTTGGGAACCAGCGAAAGCAGCTCATCGGAGCTG